ACGTCAATTTTCCAATATTATGTTTCCGGCAAAATTACATTTCCGTTTTTTTCGAGGAGTCACTGCGACGATAGTAATTTTATTCTGAGTGGAGTGAAGAAGCTTAAGGTCGTACAAAAATGTTTATTTATTAATTAATTTTTTTCTATGGACAACTTTTCTACAAGAAAACTCGCTCCGACTTTTACGTGTAGCAACTTTTCTGAAAAGAAGTCGGTGTGGGAGGTACCTCAAAGAGGTCGTTTTTCGATTTTCTCCGGAGTTTTCTCAGCAATTAGGAAACCTGGGAAAACTTAGAAAAAACGGGAAAATAGGTACAATATTGAAGAAATATTTTTTAATAAACTGTATATTGCCTATGTAATTATTTTACCATAATATGACAAAGCAACAATACTATCAACTGCACACCGCTCAGAGTCGTTAGAAACGGGTAATCGTCGCTACCAGATGCACATTAAATTACCTATACAGTGACTGCACCCGTCCCTATCATCCTAGGACATATTTTGTTTTTATTTTATCTATTTCTTTTGATTGCAGTAGGTCGGTAACCTTTTGCGACGGAAGAGCCAAAAGTTACAATACACAAAATTTTTCAGATTTTAAAGAGCCACTAAAAATGTTCGTAATTTTTTTAATATAATCTTATTTTCAAGTTTTAATAGTTATACTAATAAAATACTGCCGTCATTAAATAGATAGTTGTATCAATGGAAGCATTGGCTTTGCCTGTCTTTTGAAAGTTTTGTGAAATCTAGATCATACCTTGTTTCATCGCGATATTGCTTCAGATTTTTAAAATATAGTCATTTACCGCTCTCCGTGTCTTCACCAAAAATAAGTAATTTTTTTCTTCAACTTCTTCCGATAACTACTGTAGCCTGTACGCCGTGCGGTTACTATCAAGTTATTGTTATGTATTATTTTGGGTTTCCAAAAGCAACAGAAATAATATCCATTTTTTTATATTATAAAATATTGTTTTTGACCATAAAATAATTAATTTCTGCGTGTGGAACTGAAGAGCCGCAACTTCGAAAGATCGAAAGAGCCACAGGTTACCGACCCCTGCAGTAGGTTTTTTCGACGGTCGCCGCGTATTATGTTAAGGGCCTCACAATCTCGTTGGCCGCCACTTATAAGTATTGCACGGACGCGTAAATATTGCGTTTTCCACTGCGGCGGAGTCCGTATAATTTTATGATGCTGGATTTTGAAAACGCCGCCCGTTTATCCGGTAACCCGCGGATAATACGCCGGGACTGCTACGCTATCGCCCGAGTAATAATCGCCGATTGTGAGCGGTTCGACGGAAACAAAAAAAAAAAAAAAAAAAAAAAAAAAAAAAAAAA